TCCTGCTTGAGAAGGCCAGTCAGACACAGCCCAAGTTCACACAAGTGTGACTTTCATACATAAAACTTTCAGACTGGTTCTGCATTCAGGGCACACCCATACCCAGAAACAATACACGGGCTGGGCTGGCAGGAATGTTTGCAATGCGGCTGGCGGCGGGGGGAGTGGTGTGGAGCTACGCCGGTTCCTGGAACCCCTCCACCCACACCACCGCCACTGCCACCGCGGGAGGAAAGGGACAGCGACGGGTCAGAGGTGACAGCTGGGCTCCCAGAGGCAGGGGCAGCGCAGCCACCGGGCCCAGAGAGGGCAGGGCCCGGCCCAGGGTCACACAGCCAGACAGGGTGCCAGTGGCCTTCCTGTGCCCATAGCACCCAGCTGCAGCTCACAGGCCCCGTGGAGGTGGCCCTGTCCCCCGCTGGGACTCTGAGGATGAAAAGCCCCTCCCCCAGCCTGGCCTCGTCCTCCAGGCCCAGTCCTCAGGGAGCTTGGTGGCTTCTGGGGTGAGGCGTCTCTTCCCCACCAGCGACGGACCGGCGCAGCACTGCCCCGAGGCCCGGGGACGCCCACCGGGCACCCCTGCCTCCCAGTCCCTTCCCAGAAGGCCATTCTGGGCGCCCTCCTGCACTCCCCACACCCGATGGGGTTGGGTTTGGGGACATCTTCAGTCCAGCCACGTTCCCCCTACCCACCTCCTGGCTCCCCTCACTTCTAGCTTTGGCTTTCTCACCCCTCCCTGGGCCTCAGTTTCCTCCTTTGGTCAGCAGACTTCGGGGCCCAGGCAGGGGTGTCTACTCAGTGCCCCCCAACCCGGCCCAGCTTGTCTGTCAGGAAGACCCCTGCCAGATTAGCACGGAGCCGGTGGGGGTGACCCACGAGTTCTTGGGGTCACAGCCCCTCCCCAGCAGAGCTAGAGGTTCCCATGAAAATGAGCCAGGCATATTCTCAGCACAAAGGGGTGGGGAGGCTGAGGCGGGAGCATCTCTAAGTTTGAGGCTAACCTGAACTATGCAGTGAGACCCTGTCTCAAAAAACCAAAGGGGGAAAAAATGAAAACAAGTCAGGTTACAGGTGAGAAGGCGGAGTTGCAGAGTGACCTGTCACCCACGACACGCAGGCTCAGCCCGGGACACCACAGAAGGACCCTGAGAACCCAGGGGTCCAAGAGCTTCCCAGGGAACCTGCCCTCCTGCCCTGGAGGGAGGCGCCCACCCCTTTCTCGAAGCCAAGTGGAGAAGCCCAGCCTGCGCCCGTCAGAGCCGGACTAGCGTCCCGCACCTGGGGCACCGGGTCTCTGTCCCGGGCCCGAGCCCCTCGGAGGGACAGACAGACGGAGGGACGGAGGGACGGACACACGCGGCTCACGCCTCTCGGAGCCAGGGGCGGGCGGCATCGCCACCTCCTCCCGAGCAGGTTTCCTCTAAGAAACCAGAAGATTGATTTCCTGGCAGGCTGTGCGCACGGAGCCGTCCAAATGGTTTGCACGTGTGCGTTTTTTTACGGCCCCGTTTAATATGTATGCAAATGCGGGCACACGCGGCGCCGTCACGCAGCCGCCTGGGCGACGGCTCGGCCTGACGGATGGTCCCGGCCCGGACAGCGGCTGGGGCGGTCACCCCATGAGCAGGTCGGGAGGGAGAGGCTCCCCAGCCGGGCCCCTTTCTCTCCAGGGCTGAGGCTTGGGGAGAGAGGCTCCCCACGGATGCAGGACTCCATCCTTGACTCGTGGGACTGTACTCTCAGCCACGGAGTGCGTGCGTGCGTGCGTGTGTGTGTGTGTGTGTGTGTGTGTGTGTGCGCGCGCACGCATGCGTGGACATCCCCAGCCCTGAGCTACGCCCCAGCCCTTTCATTTATTTTGAGACAAGGTCTCTCTAAATTGCCAAGGCTAGGCATGCGGGCTTGTGATCGTCCTGCCTCAGCCTCCCCTGTAGCTGGAGTGACAGGCATAGCGGGCAGCCTGGGTACAGCACGGGCACAGGGCCTGGGGAAGTCGCTGTCCTTGTCTCTGCGGTCTCCTCCATCCTCTCCCCCATTCTTCCTCTCTCGAGAGCCTCACGGTGCTGGAGTCCTAGGAGCTCCCCAGAAGTGTCCCCGGCTGTCCTCCCTGTCACCGGCCCCACTAGGAGGTCCCTACCTAGACCCATACCCTGCACCCCCGCCTTCACACTCTCCAGCCCATCTCAGGGCTCTTTTGTCCTGGGAGCAGAGTCCAGGCCGGGACAGCAAGTGCAAGGGCCCTGTGGATGATGGCAGTGGTAGGGGTTGGAGGGCCAGGAGGGCTGACCCAGGAGTGGAATAGGGTGAATGAGGGATGTTATCAGGAGGGGTTGGCCCAGGTGGTGCAGTGCAGGCCTAGATGGGGACCCCACCTGCTCAGCAGGCTGCAGGTCACAGCCCCACTTACCTGGAGCCACAGACTTTGAGACACAGCAATTCCAACACCCATATGAGCACCGAGCCCTGCCTCCTCCTGTAGGAAGAGATCCTGGGATCGCAAGCGGCCCTGGGCATTTGACCACCTCCACAAGTCGGCAGCCAGCCTGAGATTGCCAGTCTGACCTAGAGGAAGAACCTGTCTCACTCCCCCATCCCAAAATGTTTAAGACTGCCTAGCATGGTGGCTCTTGCCTGTAATCTCAGCTCTGGGGGGCTGAGGCAGGAGTATCTCAAGTCCAGATCCAGCCTGGGCAACTTAGCAACTTGAGGATACTCTATCTCAAAATAAAAAAAATAAGAAAAGTTAGGGATGTAGCTCAGTGCGAAGGCCCTGGGTTCAATCCCAGTAACACACACACACACACACACACACACACAAAGTTGGTAAATTTTATGTTATGCATATTTTTCTAAAAAAATCCTTTACTCCAGTTCTCGCAAGTCGTTGATGGCAGCATTCTTTTTTTATTAATATTTTTTGATTGAGATGAGCTCCCTTTGTCCCCCAGGCTGGCCTCAAACTGGGAATGATCCTCCTGCCTCAGCTTCCCGAGCGCTGGGATTACACCACCACACCCAGCTAGCAGTCTTTTTCTTTTTCTTTCTTTCCCTCCTTTCTTTCTTTCTTCTCTCTCTCTGTTCTCCCCCCCCCCAACTCTCTATATCTTTTTTAAAACCCAGGATGGTGACTAGCACGGGGACAGTTAGGACTCATGGGTGCTGGTGTCCCTCAGTAAGAGACCCAGACCCTCTAAACCTGCTTCCTCCTCATGAGCTCAGAGGTGAAAAATCCACTGTCTCACCAGGTGCACAGGGACCTGGGCTAGGCCTCCCCGGGCAGGGTGCATCTGTATGGGTCAGCAAGGCCCAGCTGTGCTGCAGTAACAAATGAGCCCAGGCCTCAGCACCATAAAAGTGCATCTTGCACCCAGCAAACTCTGCCGAGAGTCCAGGTGACTCCTCGGGGCCCTCGCCCTCCTTGGGAGCCTATTGGGGTCCAGGCCCGGAGGTTGGATTTTCATTTCCCCAGGGCTCCGCGAAGGAATGTAGGTGTTCAAATGCCAGCCGCGAAACCCCAGGATCCCCCCTACAGGAGGAGGCAGGGGTCTGGTGCTCATGTGGGTGGTCAGTTGCTGTGTCTCCAAATCCGTGGCTCCCAGGTAAGTGGGGCTGTGACCCTCGGCCCGCTGAGCAGGTGGGGTCCCCATCTGGGCCTGCCCTGTTTCCGCCACCCCTGCTGGGGGATGCTGACAATGGCTCTGTGCATCCTCCTGAGCCTGCTGCAAAGACATCTAGGGTCTAAATGGCCACACATGGAGCTATACGTCCAGGGAGGGGTCCCCAGGGCTGAGCAGCTACTACGGGGAGCTGGGGATGGACTTCCTGCCTGCCTCATCTCTGCAAGAACGTCTGGTGTTTATAATTTCATCTTGCCACTTTGGCTTTTCTTTCTTTTTAGTGTTTTTTGAGACAGGCTCTCACTATGTCGATCAGACCGGCCTTGAACTTGAACTTGCATAGATCCTCCTGCCTCATCCTCCCAAGTGCCAGGATGACCTGTGTACGCCACCACCCCTGCATTCCTTTTTTTTTTTTTTTCCTTTGGTTCCCATCAATCTCATCTGAAAAAAAATGTGTACCCTTTTCGTAAGATAAGTAAATTAACGGAAGCAACTCTGATAGCTCCAGTCCAGACGGTCAGGAAGTCCCCAGTGTGCTTCGCCCCGGGGTGGCTCTGGTGGGTGGGGGGGTCCCACCTTGTGGGGTGGGGGGACCCCAGATCCCAGTGCCAGCCAGCAGCCCCCTGTGGCAACAGCGCCCAAACAGTGACAGGGACCCCAGTAGACAGGAAGGGCCCACGGTGCCTTCACCCCAGCTCCTGAGCCCCTCTGGTCCCCAATGGGATCCTGGGGAGGGGGTGGACCCTGAACCAGAGCCGGAAGGAGGCGAGATCCACACGGGGTCACAGGTGGGCGCGAGGAGGAGCCCTGGTGGCTGTGTGACCCTGGGGAAGCTACTGCCTTCTCTGAGCCCACTCCCCACAGCGAAGTGGGTTCCTCACGTGGAGGACTTCTGCTTTGCTCCCATTTTTGTTTGCCTGCC